TCAATTATTATAATTACAATTTACTGGTAATGGTACTTTGAACACTGGAAAAGGATTAGAGTTATTAGAAATCTTTGGGGTTTCAGCTTGTTTGCTCTCAGAACTAGTAGCATTAATTTGATTCGCCTCTTCCTTTTTGATAGAATTCTCCATTTTTTTTAAACAGCAAAGAAAATTTAAAGATGTGCCGCAGAACCACCACATTAGGAATATAATTTGATTGGCTAACTAACCACTTGATTCGTGCGACTAGGATTGTGGCACAGAATGACAATAAGTGGGACCCAAAAACAAGACGAACTAAAACAGAAGCAATTGGTTTCATTTCCTCGTAAATAATATTCAGTCCTCAAAAAATTCATGAAATTTTCGAATGTCGATGTTTGATCTTTTTGTTAATTTATATTCTTCTTGAATCTCGAAAAATATATAATATAGATTATATAGTATGTATATCTATCTATAACAGATAAGGTAATAAAACATCTTGTGAAAACCCATATAAATATTTGAAACATCACAGGACATAAATTCGACAAATAGAATTTAAGTGTCAGAGAACGCGAAAAACAAAAAAAAAAAGTTTGTGATACAAAAATATATGTGATAAAGAGACGCGTTTATTTTTATTTTTTTATTTTTTTAATAATGATCAACTGACGTCAGCAACTTTTTTTTTAAGGTATAAATTGATTATAATCTGTTGTTTTTTGTTGACTAAAGTCATTTTCTTTTAACTTTATTTTTATCTTTTATTGAAGACTAATTAACTTTCAAATTTTTCAATACTTTTTTTAGCCATTAGCTCTTAAAATTTTTTGTTTCAGAATCTTTATTTTATTTTTTTTTTCGTTGACCTTACTTTGAATAAAACTTTAATAATAATTTCATAGAGTTGGAACCACATACTAACTATTCGTAAAATCTTTTTATCATTTTATATTAACTTTTAAATTTATAATGCCTGAGCATTCAGGAACAAGAATAATTCGAACACCTACAATATGGGAACGAATTAAAAGTTGGCCATTGGATCGTATTATTCAACTTGAGGAAGACATTAATATGAAAGATTGGGATGAATGGAGTCAAGCTTCTAGGTATGGTTTTAACTTTGATTATTTACTTTAGTATATTTACGCGATTAATTGGTTGATGTACTTTATTAGCTGGTTTGTAGCCATCGTATTGAATTGCCTATCTATTGTATTACGAATTGGTCATTGGTTTGATGGACAAGAATATGATCCAATACTTAACCCAGTTCATAGTTCTTTAGAAATTTGGGTATGTAATTTTTTCCTAAACTAAATTGACTTATCTGAATACTATTGATTAATAATTCGAACTAAATTATAGCTTACTACTGCTGAATGGTTTCTGTTCTCGTTAAGCACGGCCAATGCTATTTATATTTATTACTCCACAAAAAATTATCATCTCTTCGAACATCACCTCAATGTAATTTTATTTCATTGTTTTTCATTTATGATTTATGATGCTTGAAAATGAAGAAATTTGTTATGAATATTTATAAAATACGCATGAATAGAAAAGATAAATTATTAATAAATTCCTACATACTATTAAGCTAATATTTTTCTTGCATGCAGGATCGACCGAAAAGTAATAATGTTCAAATGCAAGAAGTGGGTGAACCTGTTCCAGTATGGGCTGAAAGTTTTCCCGGTAATTTTTTGTAAGTTATTCAATTTTCGTGTTTAAATAAATGGGGACCTTTTATTTTATTCTTTAAAAAAAAAAAAAAATTTGTAATTTTAGTTATCCATTGTTACAAGCTATCTTTGAACATCCCGGATTTGATCCTAACAGTGAATGTGTTTGGGTGATAACAATGTGGAGTCCTTCTAGTTTTTGTTTGGACCTTTTTTGGTAATGATGAACTTATTTCGTGATTATTAATTGAATAATTCTATTCATCTAAATCAAACTCGTTTCTCTTTTGTTTAGTTACTATTCACCGGCTCAAGT